CATTGTCTCTGCACCGTCTAATGTTTATAGTCATGGACTCATCAAAAGGCAAAAACCCACAGGCCACGTCTACATCGTGTCTGGAGTAGTTGCTTTGAAGCAGTTTTGAGACAATTTACACATCAGACCAAAGTGGATCACTATTGGTTGAGTAATGAGCATGGAGCATTGAACTGGAGGAAGATGGGAGACACACTGACGGCTAGACGCAGGATGAGAGAGGGTAAGAACATGAATTGAAATTCTAGGGGTTGAGGTGGGATTCATTTTAGTTTTGGTTATATGTATTTTAGCTCATAAATCCAACGAAACCCACAACTTAACGAAGTACTGCCAAATCTTTAATTTTTTTAATACACCTAGGTTTATAATCACTCTAAAAATATCAATTAAAATCCCAATTGACTACCCATAGACTTAAATGTATTTTTGAAATTATCTTAAATCATAATTTGACTACCGCATGATTTCAAAGTTTTTTAAAATCTTCACTGACTACACTCTGATTTTAAACTCTATTAAAATTCTATCAAATCTTATCAAATTTTAATTTGACTACACCCTTCTTAATGGATTTGGAGTATTTTTTAAAATCCTATCAAATCTTAATTTGACTACACCATGATTTCATACTCTTTTAAAAAATTTTCTTTCAAAATCCTAATTGAATACACCATGATTTTAAAATCTATTAAAATTCCAACAAATCCTAATTTGACTACACTCGTCTTAAATTCGGCAAAATAATTAGAAGAGTCAAATCATCTACAACCTAAACCAAGAGAACCTAGAAGATTGCACTCTCTATTCTAGGTTTAGGGTGATGAAAATGATAAATTAGATTAATTAATTTGGAAAATAATTAATTAGATTAATTAATTTTAGTTTGGGAAAGTAATTAATTAAATTATTTAATTAGTTATTATTATGGTTATATATATCTAAGATGGGCCTCAAAATAGTGTTAGGAGTTGCCGAGTCCATAGGGCCGAAGTCCATTGGGCTTGTTTCAAGTTAAAATATGATTTGGAGTCAATAGTGGCCCAAAAAGGCCCAATACCTATTTTGAACAAGAATGGCATGCAAAATGGTGTTAAAGGAAGGGGTGGAAAAAAAATACCAAAAATCCCAAACTATACCCAAATCATATTAAAACCGAACCGAAAAAAGCCCATACCGAAAATCTCGAAAATTTTAGTATTGAAACCGAACCGATCCCAAATTATTCTGTATGGGATTCGGTCTCACATTTTAACATCATTGGGTATTCTCATCCCAAACCAAAATTTAATAAATATTATATATATATATATGTGTGTGTGTGTGTGTGTTGGAATGTCTATAATGGGCCTATTATATATTAGTATTATTAAAATAAGTAAAGTGTGCAAAAAAGCACATGGGTGTTGTCTAAAGACACGTCACATAATACTCTCTCTCTCTCTCTCTAATTATCTCTCTCACCAAGAGTCTCAGACTTTCTCTATGTTTCCTCTTGAATTCGAAGCTCAACAGCCACACACCCACCCATCCTCTCACAATCTGACTCTGATGAACTCTCTCCACTCTAGCAACCACCACACTGCACGGCTTCATCCCCACCTATGATTCTCTCCAACGATTCTCTCTGTGTGTGGGGTTTCGAATTAAGGTTAGGGTTTCAAATTGGGGCTTAAGGTTTCAAATTGGGGGCTCAACTCAGGAGGAAGACACAGGTCTAACTATCTCTTCACTCTGTCTCTCTCTTGACCTTCAATCTTCACCGATTCACTATCACTGTCTCTGATTTTAGTTTGGGCTTTTAACGCAGTTCAAATGATTACAATTTCAATTTGGATGATTTAGATTTTGATGCAGGTTTGATTTCGGAAAATCTCGAAATACGGAAAGCATTTCGGGAATCTTGAACTTCGGGAATACCGAAGGTTCGGTTCGGGATCGGTGGTCATATTCTCATAAAAAAAAAGTCGGTTCGGGACTTGATATGCCGTTTTTGGTTCGGTATCCCATACCAAACCAGCCTTAGTTAAAGGCAATTTGCCTTGTTTAAAAAAAAAATTGTTTATGTTGTGCTGTGAGAATGAACAACTATAAAATAAAGTAGTTATTGGTAAACTTTGGTTGTTAAAGTGTTTTTTTACAATAAAAACAATGTGTAAGTGTTTGGTACTTTTACGTAAAACTGTTGTGACTACGTTATATGACTAAAGAATGTATGATGTTGTAAGAAAATTTTGGATGACATGCAAAATGGCGACAAAGGCAACATGCCTTTATGCGGTGGTGTGTGAAGGAAGATTGGTGAGTAAGAACTTCCACAAGAAGCTTTAGTCTCACTCATTATACGCATGCAAGTTTCACATGGTGGTACATCAAGTATTTTTATATAAGTTGTGGAAAATTTTATTTTTTAAGTTAATAATTTTTTTTAATATCATATTCCATCATTTGTATAGTAACACATGGTGTACCATCCCGTGTTCCGGTTACACTGAAAAATCTCTCCTTAAAAAGAGAGAGTTGTCATCCATTTATTCTTATGAGAGAGAGAGAAGCTCTCATCCTCACATGCAGTCTCTCTAACTAAGTAGAAAATGTGAGTTTTCAAGAGTGAGTTTTCTTTCTGAGCCTCAAAAAGAAAGAAATCTATGAGTGAAAACACCAACACCACCAAAGTCATTCCTCCTGTTTGAGTAAGTGTGTGTCCTCGTTCAACACTCTTGCTCCTCCATTCTCACCTTAGTTTCATAGGTGAACTACGGCGGTTTGATCTTCGTTGGAGACAAAGTACGTAGGCAACCTACTCATATGACGGCTAGGTACAACAAAAAATCTACAAAAGGTGTTCTTGATCTTTAGAGATGGAGCATGCATATCAAGGAAGAAGGCCTACCTTAAAGGAATTCAATACTTACCACACTAGCCCTCTATTTTGTTATTATTATAAAACATGAAAGTTTTAGTCTAATTTGAATTCAATACTTACCAAATATATATTGACAAGTCAAATTCAATGATCTGAATAGTCTATGTAGAGCCAAAACTAATTCAGAAAATCATGGAGTTGAACCAAAAATTAGATTGGTGAGGCCCACATTCCGATTATAAATGAATATAAATATAAATTAAGCATGATCTCATCTGGATCCAATTCGTTTACATGATTAACCATGATCTGATCCAATAGCCACATTCTCTAATCTCAAACTACAATGTAACCATAATTACAGTTTGATTTGGTTTGATAGAAGCTTCAACTAACTTAATAATAAAAATAGAGAAAACTTCTTATCGTTTAAGATAGAGAAGTGATGTCAAATTTGAATGGTATAGAAATTTGAATTTTTGTATTAAATAAAAACTTTTGATCGCAAATAATCTTTTAAATTGATCAAATTCCTCATTTTAGTCTATGAGTTCAAAGCCCATCAATTTTGTCTTTGACTTTCACTGCTGCACATCAATATGGTTCTTCTATTAAAGTTACGTTAGTCATTTTTGGGTAAATTATATAGTAGCCCTTCATGTTTGAAGTCTATTACAATCTCATACAATAACTTTAAAACATTTCACTTTCATACATCACGTACTATTTTATTTCAAAATAATACATCCGTTACATTTTTCATCCATTAATCCGTTAAGCATTGTCGTGGCTACCACATTTGTGCTGATGTGGCTGCTATGTGGCAAAAAAAAAAAAAAAAAAAAAAACCCAAACCTAGAAATGATTCCCGGCAACCCCACATCCCACCCCCTACCAATCTCTTCCTTCCCGTCCATTCATGCCCTCCACCACCTACCCATCTCTTCCTTCCCTTCTGTCCATGCTCTCCACCCCCTACCCATCTCTTCATTCCCGTCAGAGTTGAGTAAAAAGCTAAACTCGTTTTGAGCCTCTCTTACCAATATCACAAACAAAACGAGTAAAATAAACCCTAAAACCCTAATCAAATCAATTCCAAACTCTTATCTGAAAATTTGAGGGATTGCAAACACCAATTCAATCACCAATCGAGAACGAAATGCACAAACTTCAACAAATCCAATTACAGAGATAGAGAGAGTTGAACCTCACATTGGCTGTTGCCGCCGTGGCGCTCGCTTCGATCTCCTGAGACGACGGTGTCGGTTGGGATGTCCCGGTCAGCGGACAGCGGCGGGGCCGGGACGATCTCCATGGGCTGGGTCGGATCAGGTAAGGGGTGGGTTGGAGTCTGCGTTGGGTATTGCCGATCGGTCCTCGGTGGGGGTAAGGTAGTCGGAGAGGTCAGAGAAAGGGTCTGATAACATGGCGGAAAGGGATTGGCGATGTGTGATGTTGTGCGCTTTGGTGAGGGTCGTGAAGAGTGTGAGCGTGAGGAGGAAGGCGATGGCGGAGTTGCATTGTGTGGGTTTTGGATCTGGGGATTTTGAGGGGTTTGGGGTTCGAGAGAGAGAGAAAGTGAGGAGAGTGAAGGAGGATCGAGGGAATGGGTTGCTGGGTTTCAGTTTTTTTTTAAATTTTAAATAGGGTTAATATTATAATATTTTTAATGTATAAAAGATTTTTTTTGCCATGTGGCAGCCACATTAGCACAAATGTGACAGCCACGTCAACACTTAACGGATCAATAGATGGAAAATGTAACGAATGTATTATTTTGAAATAAAATAGTACGTGAGGTATGAAAGTGAAATATTTTAAAGTTGTTGTATGGGGTTGTAATAGACTTCAAACCTGAGGGGTTACTATGTAATTTACCCTAATTTTTTTTAGTGTGCTAATTTAACTATTTGATAACCATTTCGTTTTTAATTTCTTGTTTATATTATTTTTGAAAGCCAAAAATTCGTTGGCCAACTATTTTTAGGTTTTAAAAATATGAAAAACTAAAAACTGAAAGTTACTTTTTGAGTTTTGAAAATTTGGCTTTAAGTATTTCATTTTTTTTTTTAATCTAAAAGGAGTGTTACAAAATTGTCTATCAAACAGCCACTTAGTAAACGATTTTCGTCCATTTCTCACTAAACGAACAATGCTTAAGAAGATTTCGATTCTAATAAGAAACAAAAAATATATTTACAAGGGAAGAAAATACAAATCAGAATTTACAATTTCTCATCCTCGACAATTTTTCGAATAAGCACATGAACATTAGAAAATTTGGCTACACTTGAAGGAACAAAAAGAAGATATGCATCTGGGGAGAAAAAGGAGTTGAGTTCAAAGCCGTCGAGAGTATCCAGAACCTGCACATTTCTTGCAAAGTACCAATCCTACAGAAAAACAGAATTAATTTGAGACAGAAAAAGGAGAGACGGAATGGAACCGTACAAAACCAATGCCGAAAAAAGTTCACAATCTGATGAATAACTTGACAATTTGATTACTACCAGAATCATTGAGGTGTTAGATTATCATAATACACCTTAGTATTAATCTACGCGATTTACTTGTTCAGTACTACAACTTGTGACATACGACATGGTACTTCTGTAGTACCGCAGACATCTCAGTACTACAACTTGTGACATACGACATGGTACTTCTGTAGTACCGCAGACATTAAAAAATCAGAACGGCGAGAAGTATTATTAACCAAAATCATAGATCGATTATGTCCTTTGATGACCATACATGCCTAATTGAGGTCTAAGGGCCATAATAATACAGGAAACAAGTATCAGAAACTGTTACCTGCACCCTTGCACACCTTGCAGTCAACCAAGCCCGTCTCTACCTTCATTTTTCCATTGTTGCAGAAGACACATTTTGTACCACCTACCGGTCGCAAATCACATTTATATATTAGGTCAAGACGGACAGTGAGACACCACCACGGCAAGTCTCACTGTAAAGTGGCAAAATGTTGAAAGAAATAAAACAATTACTAAATGTTGAAACAAAGAAACATAACCGATAATGTACAGATTCATATAATTTGACAAGCAGTACTAACATTTTTTGTTTGCAGCACTGTGATCCTAGTCCTATATATGATATATCCTTGAATGCTTCAAACTGATATTCTGTAGAGTAGGGATCAACTATTAGATGTTGAACGCTACATTAAGTTCTAATTGTTCGAGAACGCATCCAAAGACCTAACTCAAACTGTGAACAATACTGCAAAATGGTTACAAAGAGAGATTCCACCAAGGTGTATGGTGGTCACCTTTTTCTTCTCTATACTTTTAGCCTTAACGTTTCCTTTCTAGGTTCTTGCAATACTTGTGCTCTTCTGTTAACGAGTCTATCTTTTCAACGGAAAGAACATAAATCGTAGTATCCACAGCACATTGAAACTGAGAGAGCTCAAAATTATGAGGAAGATACAATTCAGAGTAGACTGCACCCAAGTTATAACGTGCGACAGTGCGAGCTATAAATGGTAGTTGTACTTAAAACCCTTCAGTCTAAACTGGTTGGGTTCAGTCCTCTGTTAAAACCTCAATCTACGCAGGTCACCACTGGAAAATCTTACTTGTCCGGTGACCGAAACTATGTGAGGAATACTTCTAATCGAAATCCAAAAACCACATCTTGTCAACCAAGTCCATCCTCGGCTTATTTCTAACAATCAAAAGTGCTTTTGCCTAAGTTTGGGAGAAAAACTAAAAAGTAATTATGGGTCATAGAAGTGCTATTTAGAGAAGCACATAACTTGGATTTTTTAATAAAATTTAACGTGTTTCTAATAAAAGCACTTCTAGTATTTCTGTCAATCATTCATTCTTATGTCAAAATTAAAAACCAAGATAGCAAAAGCAACCGGAAAGTGATTACCGTTGCCAGCACATCTCTCACAAGGCACAGGGTCACCCTGCAAATGATTCATCAAGCGTAACTCAAAGAAGCTAAAATCCATAATCCCCATTTAGTAAGCATAACCCTAATTTGGAAAAATAGCTACAATAAATAGATTTTGACATTTGGCGTGCATAAATGATTTGTAAAGACGACATATTGATCCCATATATCGACCACAACCCAACGATGATATAATAAGGACAAAATAAACACTGATCAGTTCTGCAACCAAATGTCAAAATATGTTTATCGTAGCTAATTGGCCTTATAATTTTTTGGAAAAACAAAGGCAGAAGGGGTAGGTAGTGACCTTCAGACCGAGAAAGAGGGAGAAAGCAATGGCGGCCAAGACACTGATTGTGGCAAGAAAAGTTTGGGTGTCCAAGGGTCTGTCGAAGCCAGCAAACAGGAAAATGGGTTGGACCAACAGCCTCGCAGTTGGCTGAATTATGATTTCAGGTCCGGCGGCGGCAATGGTGGCAATGCCGGTGGCGGAGCAACGGATGAGTGGAGGAGGGGTTTCGGGTTTTGTTTGAGGTTGGTGTGGAAAAGAATGAGAAGTTGCTGACGGAGAAGAAGAAGAAAAAAGAGGGTGGAGGGAATAGCAGGAAAGTGTGGCCATGGATATAGAGTATAATGAGTATGTGGAGCTCAGTTTCGTTATTTGTATTTGATTTTTTTAATTAATTAATTAATTATTATTATTATTTTTTTTAAAAAACGATATTATTTACATTAAAGTAAGGGAGGTGATTAGTAATAATGTGGTTCAAATTCTCTTTTGGCAAGAATCGAACCTAAGGGATGGGCAAAATACCCACGGATATAGGTAACCGTGGTTACCCGCTCATTTAAATTTCACGGTTACGGTTATGGGTAACCGTTTAGATAAATAAATTGTTATGGGTATAACCGTTTACTCCTGAAATTTAAATAGGTGGTTATGAGTATTAACCGCGGTTATAAACGGGTAACCGTTTACCCATTTATTTTATATATGTAAAATTAATACAAACCATGGTTTCTATTGAACAAAACTTAAATCAATGCTATTGACTATAGTGTATGGTTTATATAGCTAATTATATATATTATGTTAATACTTTACATTATAGGTTAAATAACTCAAAAATATTGTTTTCTAAACAGTTTTCGTAACAAAAAATATTTAACAAATATTATATTACCTTCATTGGTAACATGGATTAGTAGTAAAAGTTTTCCCAAAAGATTAGGAAAATAAATAACAATTCCCCTTAGTCCCACTCACTTAATTCAACCCAAGGCCTGTTCCTCAAAAATGTTGCGACTTGCCATTTCAACTAATCCCTCACTTTTGTTAGCATTGTTACTAATTTATATATCCTATATTCCAATTTTGTCTTTTAAAACTATTTTTCTTGCTTTTTCATTCTTTATCAATTAAAAATATCGTTCGTAAATTATTATTTCAATTATTGGAATAGTATGAGGACTTAAAAATTAAAATATGGAAATGTATGATAAATGTACCTATAAAGGTGTTTAATTCTTAAAAAAAAATTATGACAATTTTTTTTTTAATTTTCAAGTTGTTAAAAAACATGTAGACGGGTGAAAAATGGGTAATGGTAAAAAAAAAAAAAAAGATAAAAGGGTTAAAAAGGGTAAATGGGTATTAAGCGGTTGCGGATAAATGGGTATGTGGCTATGGGTATGGTTAACCGTTTATAAACGGTTATGGGTATGTGTATAACTGTTTAGGCAATTACCCAACGAGTAAAAGGTTATGCGTGTATGAGCATAAACGATTATGGATAAAAAACCTCGGTTACCTGCTTGCCATAACCGTTACCCATCCCTACTAAAACCTCTTACTTACAAGTAAAAAAGATATCACTATACCGTAATACTAAGTAGCTATTTCTAATTTTTTTTTTTCAAGGAAAGGAAAGAAGGGAGTAAAAGACCCTTTCCAACTTTCTTCGTAAAAAGTCTTTTCCTACGCTTTTCTCTTTACATACACCTTATTATTCTTAGTATTAATTTAATAATTTGAGGGAAAAGAAGACATAAAAAAAAGGTTGCATTGAATGGTAAAATGTGTGTGTAAATAACTTTGACTTTCAGTTGTTTGGTAAATATTTTGGCATCAACTTGAAGTTGTAGGTCTTCGATACAACTCTCGTGGATGACAAGTTCGATAAAAAATTATTATGGATAACTCATTGTGCCGAGTAGTCCAAGTCTATCACCACTAATATAAATGAGTAATTATCAGGGAGGCCAACTATTTAGACCAAATTTTGTAAAACATATGACGTGGTGGTTGATGATCATATTATTACTTAAGTATTTGTTAACGTGCTTATTTTATAAGAAAAGCTAATGAAAATGGCTTGAAAACTTTGAGTTTTAACGATAAGGACAAAATAAAGGGTAAAGTGAATACTACCAGGATTGACTTTTTAGTGTAAAAATGTGGTTTTTCGTTAAAGTGAACAATACTGAGAGCTTTTCATTAAAGTTCTCTATTTTCTATTGGTGAAACACCACATAGTTTACAAATTTGGTATTCCTAACCTTCTTCAATATGAAGATATTGTTGAACTCAAAAGAAAAAAAGTCATAACTTGGTAAAGGCCCAACCAAACTACGCTATGATGTGAACCCGACCCAATAATTGTTGGACATAGACTTGACGATCTATGGGTGCAACTCGACATATAATCTGAACGAATAGTAGGTGAGGCCTAACTTTATTAGAGAGATGATACAAATATGAGATGAAACATATGGTAAAGGTAGTATTTTTGAAACAAGTGACCGTTTGAACCCACTTAGTGACATTCGAACTGGATCCAACGATAATCGGACTCAACATGATGACGACCACCTGTTGAATATTTCAAGAACAGATGGCCTCGTTTGGTAGCTCAGATTGTACTGACTATTTGAATCGTATATGATAAATAGTCATCGGATAGTACTGACTAAATTAGTCGGCCGTATGTCGGATTAATCTGTCTATCGGTAATATGTCGAACTATGATAATTTTCTAAAAAAATTCACATAATAATTGTTGGTAAAACTTAAAATGAAAAATGTGAGAAAACCCCAAAAAAAACCCACAAGCCAAGAAAACTGACACATAGGACTTTGTTTGATTTAAGGAAACAGGCTAGCTAGTGCTATAGATATAGATTGAGTTGGGCAAGCTTTTAAGTAAATACTAGTGCTCCACTTCTAGAATATTAAGTAACTGGTGAAGAAGGAAGGTTAGCTTTAAAGAAGTCATTCATTGGCGAGGAAGACTAACCTCTTTTACACAAGGTTAAGAAGTCACTTAGGTATACAATATAGAATTTCTATTATTCCTCAATTTTTTTTTGGAGAGGAAATTCAAGGAGGACTTTGTTTTTTTTTTCTTTCAACAAACCAAGAACACTCATCGGACATAAAATTGGGCTGACTATGATTTGGGCATTGGGCTGGGGAAAGGCATTGACAAAATTTGATTTGGAGAAGGGGAACGGTCGAGTGATGCCTCCAGATATCAGCCAATATGACGGATCGACAATACCTAACAACCACAAATGTTTCCCCTGCAAGACTTCATTCAAAGGCAGACAGGAATACAGGGTCATACTCAGCTCTCGAGCGGCTAATTCCTCAGTTTCCCTTTACCCTCTCTGTACAGCTTGTGGAACACATCGTTTTGCCGCCGATCTCCATTCTTCTCTCTCTCACTCTCTTCATTGTTCTTCTGTGTGCTTTTCGCTGGACGAGACAGAAAATTGCTCGGCGACTGATTGCAGAAGAGTGGCGCCCAGGGTGGAGAACTTGTCAAGGAACTGCTCGAAGGCCTACAATGAAAAGTCGTTAAAGGCGGCCTCGTGAAGATGGAAAGGATATCGCCCAACTAATTATCCCCAGCTTTTGAGGTGTTTTAATAGTACGGTGTCAACCGTATAAAATTTGATGGATGGATAATTAAGCGGGTGCTTATTTAGTATAAGAGTGCACCAAACAATTGCTTCAGTATTATTTATTCTATCTGATTCTTTATACGGCTTGCCAAATGAGGCCTATATGTCGACTAGTGTTAGAAGAGAATGAAGTTAGGTATTTGGCCAACAGTTATTTCTCTTCAAATTTAAGCATTGGAACTTTTCCATTTTTGGCTAAAAGGCACGATCCATGATCAACTAGTGCATCTCTTTACTGACAGACATAATATTTGGGTCATTGGTGCTTTGCGTCAGACATGCCCCATTGAAAATATTGCTTTTTTACTCAATTTTCTTGCTCTCTCTCTCTCTTTCCTCTCCATCACATTCATATAATTTCTTTCTAGTTATTTCTAAGGGAACTCTGCATGTGTAAGTTTATCTTACATTGCCGGTCCCAAGCCTGGATAAAGGAGGAGGGGGAGGGCGTTAGGTAGTCGACAGCTGGCACTCCTAGGTTACGTCGAATCCTTATGAAAATTAATCTAGAACGAATTTGCGCTAAACTAGGGCGTCACCCGTAAGTGGTGCGCTGTGTGGCTCGAGCACAGTGATAAGTGAGCAAGGGTCGCTGTATCTCCATCGGCACCCAGATGCAGTGTTAAATGAGCAAGGGGGTCATAGAAACTTCTTTTTGAATGACTCCACTCAAAGTTGTTTATGAGCATATTCTCCTATCAACTTTACACATGACACACAAAAGAAGTACTTTGATCCTATTAGACGGGGGAGGGTGAAGAAGCTAGGACAGAAGGTTAGAGTTCAAGAGAGTAATATGCGTTTAGGAACGTGGAATATAGGAACATTAACGGGAAAATCTATGGAAGTAGTGGAAGTTATGATGAGGAGAAGGATAAATATTAAGTGCCTACAAGAAACTAAATGGGTTGGTCTTAAGGCAAATGATCTAGAAAACTCAGTTTTAAACTTTGGTATTCGGGCACAAATAGAACGAGAACGGTGTTGGCATCATTGTGGACAAGATCTTGACACAAGATGTTTTAAATGTCAAGAGGGTAGGAGATAGAATCATGGCAATCAAGATTGTAATAGGACAAGAACTCATCAATGTGATTAGTGTGTATGCACCTCAAGTAGGGTTAGATACGAGTTTGAAGGAGAAATTTTGGGAAGACCTTGGAGACTTGGTGCAAGGAATTGCTCAGATGGAGAAGGTATTTATATAAGGAGATTTAAATGGACACGTGGGCAAGGAGATAGGCAACTATGGAGGTTTTTATGGTGGTCATGGTTTTGGGGAGAGAAACGAGGATGGGAAAGCTATCTTGGATTTTGCAATGGCATATGATCTCTTCGTAGCCAACACCTTCTTTAAGAAGAAAGAAGAACATGTGATCACCTACAAGAGTGGGTCATCAAAAACACAAATAGATTTTCTTCTAATGAGGAAAGGGGACCGTATAACTTGTAAGGATTGCAAAGTTATACCGGGAGAGAGCTTGGCTAATCAACATCGCTTGTTGGTGATGGATGTACATATCAAAAGAGAGAGAAAAAAGAAAAAGACTTGGAAGTGCCCAAGGACTAGATGGTGGAATCTTAAAGGAGAAAAACAAGTCATTTTCAAAGAGAAAGTAATCACCCAATGCATGTGGGATAGAGAGGGGGAAGTTAGCCAAAGGTGGGATTCC